ACACATCATGAAATTATTAATATTACTCTAACTGAAAGATTCTATAGTCTTCGTCAAGAATATTTTCATTATTTTCTTCTAGAAATTTTTTGTAACTGTAATCATCTATTTGATGAAAATAAATCATCAATAAAAGCGATACCTATAATTGAACTGACAGTTTTTGTTGATATCGAACTTCGAAGAAATAATAATTTTAATATTAAATATTCGCTAAATATATGATGTAATTAGAACAAGTTTTTTTTTTAATCTACTTATATTCCAAAAAACTTCATAGCCAAAAGTTATAAATCTTCAAATCCAAAATGTTGAGTTTTAATAAGAACTGAAATTTTATGCATCTTATTAACTATAGATGTTTTCTTCTATTAAATTTCTTTCAAATAGACGTAGTAGAGAGAAGTATTTTATATCAAGAAGAGTAAGATAATTGACTTTGTTACTTCATTATTTTGAAAATTAACTGTTGAATCAACTGATAACTTAACCATGCGTATTGAAAAATTTTTTATTCAATTTCTTGTGAAATAACTGACGTAATTATGTGATTTTTATTTTCATGAAAAAGAATCTGACTTAAAACAGGAAATAAGTAACTTAGAAAAATGATGTTTAATATCAAAAAGTAATCCAAAAAAGTATTTTTAATTTTTTCTTTAAAAATATATTAATTTCTCTTGAATGCAAATTAAACAATACTTTGTCAATATGATAGATATATTAAATTTCTTTTTTTTGCAAGATATTTTTTATTATTTTCGATCTACAATAAAATATTGATTCGGCTCATATTTGAGTTTTTCAGTCTTCGTAGATTACAATTAATAATCAATCAAGTTGAAAATAATATATATATATATAATTTGTTACGAATATTTGACTTATTTTCAATAGCATCTTAATTTAAAAAATATTGTGTAATTCAACTAATAAATCTGGTTATATACATTTTTTTCCAAACTATGCTAAAGAATACCTGAATAAAGGATAATAAAAAAAAATGGAAAGTAATTCTATTGGTTCAAACAATCTAGAATAAGCTACATACATACAATATTGTGTGTAGTATGTATATGTAATTTACCTTAACATAGAATGATTGATTGTATTGTGGTAGACGCACATTGATATTATAATAATTGTTTGAAATGACAAACATTATGACTTAAAAATTATCGATTTTTACATCTGAAAGTATTTTATCATTCTTACATTAATGAAATTCAATTTTCTTTTTTGTCAAATGGTACCATCAGTAGAGTTTTCAATATGCTATCTACATATTTATATATTTGGATTTAAAATTCTCTCTTGTTTGAGAAGAGAAATATCGAAGTTGTGGAACGATCTTTTAGTCGTGTGAAATATTTTTGATATAAAAATATTTAACTATGCAATATTTCTATATTAAAGTATCGACAAAACAAAATTGCCTCAAAAATGCCACCCCCCTTTCATTTATTCAGTTAATAATATGTCATAGCTTTACTAAATGGCTCCAATAAAATGTTTTGTCATGGTGACACGTACTGTTTTTTTAATATAGATGCATGCAAAATGACAAAATATTCTTACAATTATAATATCTATTCGAGCTCTCTTTTGTTCTTCTAATAGTTATCTCAAAGACAGCTGGTGTCTCCCGTATATTATATAATATGATGACACCCACATATATATTCCTGTTACTTCTTTCCTATAGCAAAGATACGTAAAGGATTCTTCGCTATTTTTTTTCTCAGCGAATCGGTCAACTGGGTGTATTCTGTTCTGTTCTATCAGTGCTTTCCTCAAGAAAATCGTTTCTTTTCTTTTTCTTCTCTCCATAATATACAG